GATCTGATCCTGTTGTGCATGGGGTTGCCATGAGTCGAGGATGAGGTGATGGTAGCTAACAACAAAAACTATAACAGGAAGCTCTCTGAGAGTAGGACCACAGTCTTCTTGGTACCCTAGTTCCTTGCACAGAGCCTGGACGTAACGGGCACCCCATAAATGTTTGCGGACAGAATGGATTCCTTGTTTTCCTGTTCTAGCTGAGTCCAGTACATCTTTTCCAGTTAGCTTGTAAACACTACAAGGTTATCTTCTCCTTTCCTACCCTCCATCGCCCTTGATGTAAGGCTGTGTACTTAACAAATGCTTGCTGGAAAATGGCATTTTCACCCAGGAATGTTAAATAGCTGAGGTTGGCATTTAGTACAACTGCCTGGCATCCTAATTCCTTAGATTAATTGTTTTCAAACTCTGTATTAGCTGGAGAATGCTTTCTCCAAGTGAACTCTTCTGCAGAACCTCCAGGGAAAGGGAGGCTGGACCACTGCCTGCTATGCCCCAAGGTAACTCTGAGGATCCCCTGGCACACTGGGAAGCATTGATTGTAAATCAACAGGAGTACCATGCCAGCTATGCTTGACGTCAGCAATGGCTGATCTCAATAGATACATCAGTTAGTGCCCACTGTTAGATTTTTGTCTGAGTGAGACCAGTAAGGAGGCTGTTACACTAGTTCAGGCAGAACATGATGGGAGCCAAACTAAGGCAAACGGAGAGGAGGTAAATATGAAAAGAGCAGGTTCACAAAATACAACTACTGCCAAGTGAACTTCAAGGATCAAATAGCCAGAAAGACGCTACCTCAGTTCCTCCAGGCTGAGCTTGAAGAAAGGTTCATTTAATGTACCAAGCCCCATCATGTCTTTGCTGGGAGAATAACCACTGGTTCATTCTTATGAATGCTTGCCCCTGCTTGTCCTCTCCAAACTCTTAGATTGCTGGAACACCGCTGTTTCCCTCTAACTAAATTTACTTGAAGTTCTCCCAAATTGAATTTCTCATTAAAACCATGGGAAGGGAGACGACTAAGGAATCAATGGGCTGCTGGGGGAGGAGGCAGAACTCATTAAGTTGCTTTTGACTCTAGGGAAAGAGTTTAACATACTTTGCTTCCCTGCTCAAGGGAAAGAATACTCCTTAATTTATCTCTAGGGAAGGAGATACCCCAGACAGTCTCATTAACAGTTCATTATCATTTTATGGTCATGATTTCTTCCTTGTGTCTAACCTAAATACTGACTCCTGTAATTTAAATCTTTTTGAAAAATCTGGACTTCTTGAAAATAAAATAGAAAACAGGTGTCTGTGATTCTCCAGGATAACGAACTTAAGCGGACCTGAAAATATTTATTGAACCACCACTAATCTTATTTTTTTTCCTATGCTTACTACTCCAAATCCAATTAACCTTTCTTCAAAGGTCATGTTATGTAACCTTCTGCCATTTTTTTAATAGCCTTTCTTCACTGGCCACGCAGAAAAAGCCAAATGGGCAGTACATGTGTGTGAGAGTTTGAAAACTGGAGGAGTTACCTGTATCCTCTGTCCTTGGGATTATAGGTATAAGAATCTTAAGTATGACCTATTGACACAAGAGATTACAACTTCCACTGTGTAGTCACTTACCCGTTCCTCTCCTAAATCCTTCCTGTCATTCTTGGTGATAATGCCCAGCTGGTTTTTAGCCTTAAATTTAGAAGCCACTCAGGACCCCAGAGTCACTACTAGTAAAGCTATCTTCTGTTGCTCACTTCAGCCAAGAGGCAAGGAAATAACAGGTGATGGAAGAAGCTATCCAACGTCTCTCAGAGAGCTCACCATGGTGAAGAAATAGAGAATCTAGCCTTTCAGCTTGTTCTAGTTGTTGAAAATAAAGGCTCCATTTACAAGTGTCCACTATAACAGAACGAAGGAAGTGGTAGTTCAGTGGTAGCATTCT